AGAGAGAGAGAGAGAGAGAGAGAGAGAGAGAGAGAGAGAGAGAGAGAGAGAGAGAGACAGATAGAGACAGCGAGGCAATCGTTGATAAGCCAATCGCCGGGAAGACGTCATGTCATCCACAACGGCGATTGGCCCTGAACGATTGACGAAGGGTCACACACACACACACACACACACACACACACACACGTTCCCATTGCCGAAGGCAAGGTCGGGACGCGTCGCCGACGATGGCAACCATCGTCGTCCGTCCATCAACCCACTTGCGGACGTCCACCGCGATCCTCCCCGAACTACCGGTCGCCGGCGAACCGACACAGGGGGGGGGAGGGGGGCGACAGGGAGACCCAGGAGGTCAAAAAAACAAAAACAAAACAAAACAAAACAAACAAATATCTGGCCTGGCATCATTGCACCAGCCACAGGGACCCCGCCCTAAACTTTGTCCATTCGTCGGTCGATGCCGGGTTGGGAAAACCGAGATGTAGAAACGTTACCGGAAAAAAAAAAAGAAAAAAAGGCCAACGTCGAAAGGTACCGCGGGACACAGGCTCGGCAAAAAACGGCGCGCACTATAATTCAGGGTCGGCAAAAACAGGCTAGGAGGTACTGGTGGTTTAAAGAATTAGCCTTTTATTTAAAAAATAAAAATAAAAAATCCATGCCACTATAATTCAGGGTCGGCAAAATCAGGCCTTTCTCCACGGGTTCTGCAGACTGGTGATCTCGCTGCCACTGGTCCCATCCATGCCAAGACTGGGTCGCCTCGGCGTTGCTCATCTCAGACTCTCCTTCGGAGTCTTGATCGACGCGCTGCACCTCTCTGGTCGTGGTCCCGGTAGACGAGTCGTCCTCGTGGTAAGTGACAGTCACCCGCATTCCCACAGTTACCCTGTCTCGCCTGCATCTCCGCTCAGCCCTGTTGCGTGCCTCGGTAATAGCCGCCTGCGGTCTCTCATCTCTTCTCATGTCCTGTTCTCGGTGACCACAGACGTTAATCTTCAGCCTTACCTCTCCCGCAGGCTTCCCTTAGGTCAGTATAGTCTCAACTAAGGTACCTTTCTCATCCTCTCGTTCCCACATCCAAGAGTACCTCATGTACCTTGGCCTATAGCCACGCAGGCCATTTCGGTCCGCCATAGTCACCTTTTCTTACAATAGCCAACGCCCGAGACCGCTGCCTACCCACACTCCAGCAACACTCTCGGGGCACTTGGCACAAAGACTCCAAGTCGACCGCGACGCTTTCCAGCGCGACTACCTTGCCCTCATATCAGAGTGGGTTGGCCAGCTCTGTGTAGCACACCAACCTCTCCCCTTATAGGGCTGCCATGCGCAGGACTACCTGCGTTTTAAACGAGACACTCGACATATTTTCAGATCAATGGAAATAGCAAATAAAATATATTTAAAATAAAATGAGATAAAATGAAATAAAATGAAAACGGGAGGCTGAACGTCAAAGGTCATAACACGAGCAGCGCACTTCGCTGCTATCCACTAGTCCTTTCACTTTCGGCATAAGACGCCCGCAAAGTCGGCGCAGACTCGTCGCAGTGGTCCCATAACAGGGTATCGACGGGCATGCTTCTCCCTTCAAAACACGCCGTCGGCCCATTCTCATTGGGTACTCGTGTCCGATGGCAAGGAGGGGGCTTATGACCTTCCACGAGGGGTGATAAGCCTCCTACCGAAGCGGCCGCAGGTTGCCCCTCTTTTGGGGTCCTACTGCACGGCGCTCAGCCGGACAATTCAGCCACAGGAGATACACGAAGGGACGGCTAGTCTAGACCGCCAGGCTGCAATCGAAGTTCAAACTGAACCGTTAGCCTCCAGCAAAATGACAGAAGGGGAAATTAAGTAAAAGAAGTCAATAATAATAATAATAATAATGATAACAATAGTAATAATAATTATAAGGAGAGGGGGACGACGCTTTAAATCTCTCTTGCGTCGATACATCACCAAAGCCATCGGGCAACAACGATCTAGGTCTAGGCACGGATCTGAGGCTCCGTGCTCGAACCCTTTCCCTTTTCCCTTTTTCCTTCACTTTTCTCTGTATTTCTCTTTTACTGATAGTGATTGTCGCCACCGCACCTACCCTATAACCCAGCTACAGGAACCTGGCACACGGTTGAGAAGACAGCACCGACTATCGCTATCACATCCCTGCATCTAGTTCAGATCACCACCATCGGGGCCTGACGCGCGGCTGAGTAAACCATGCTACCCTTTCTCCTACCCAGACAAAACCCAATTGGTCTTTTCAGCTGCGGGACGGCTCGCAGTAAGGTAGGGTGTCGAGCCCACGCGGTCCCATCGGAAGGCCTAGTAACAAGGCCTAGCCTGTCAATTCCACGCGACCCTGCTGACTGATACCAGGCCTGCAGCGGTAAGTGAGCGGATGTCTGGTAAGCAGCGATGAGTGGGCGGATGCCTGGTAAGCAGCGGAGGGCCGGGACACCGCGCTCGCATGTGTGTGTGTGTGTGTGTGTGTGTGTGTGTGTGTGTGTGTCCCAACAGTTGACTCTCCAACCCCGCGACCGGCCTGACGCTACTTCCATGGATAGGATGACCAAAATCCAATGATTCTTCCGGTGGAACATCCAAACATGCACTGCTACGCGCGCGCGCGCGTGTGTGTGTGAGAGAGAGAGAAACAAAGAAAACTACACAACAGAGAGACACCGAGAGAGAGAGAGAGAGAGAGAGAGAGAGAGAGAGAGAGAGAGAGAGAGAGAGAGAGAGACAGAGAGAGACAGAGAGAGACAGAGAGAGACAGAGACAGACAGACAGACAGACAGACAGAGAGAGAGAGAGAGAGAGTACACCTCCTTTTTGTATAATAATAACAACTGGATGCTCAAGAGCACTATCAAAGCCGCTCACATCATGAACGGCTTCTTTGTGTGATAATAATGACTGCCTTCCATTTTCTCCACACATTCTTTTGCACCATACATTTTCCACTCCCCCCTGCCTCCCATCCCTTCTTCCATTCACTACTTTCCCATCTTCAGCTCCTCATCTTCTCCCCTCACCATCCCCCCTGCCTCCACCTTCACTCCCCCTCCACTGCCGCAGCGTCGCTGCGGTGGGTCCACTTGTCATTTCTTAAATTATTAAACTATTTATTCATGTGTTTGAACTCAGGATACCTGAGCAGTCTGGATTATGTTGTCCTCTCGTGTGTTTTGGGGCCACTTGGGCTTTTCCTTCCGACGTTATGATGAAACAGGTACCCTCATCCGACCACTTATTCGTACGAGTGCCGATTGTTTCGTCCCTTTCAATACGCGATGCCGTCCCCTCCTTTCTATGAGAGAGAACACATCGCTGTGAAGAAGCCAGAGCTTCCGCCAAAAGTAAGGTCTTTGGAGGAGTACGACGGGCCTCGATGCTTTGCCATACCGGGAAACCATGGTGAGTTAGCATGCATCAACATCTTCTTCTTTTTTCTTTTTTGCTTTTGTATTTGGAGGAGTACGGCGGGCCTCGTATGTCTTCAGATGGGATGCTGGGCCGGGTTCCCAGCACGTGCTGCTCCCCATGAATAGATTGGAGTACTGTTCTTTGAAAAAACAGGTGGACCTGCCATGGCGGCGCTGCGGCCCAGTGGAGGGGATGAGAGAGAAAACGACGGAGGAGAGGCAAGGGGTGAAAGGGAGGGTGAAGAAGGGGGGGGGGAAGAGGAAGAGAAGAATTGTGTGTAGCTGAGGACATGTTGGGATGGAAGATGACGCTACTGTCTTCACCCAAATAGAACGCCCGGTCATTGTAGCTGTATTTGGCGGAACTTTCAGCCCAGATACGGAGATAATTACCGGGCGTTCTATTCGGGTGAGGACGGTAGTGTGAAGGCAGATGATGAGGGACATGCTCTCTCTCTCACTCACTCTGTTTCTCTCTCCCTCTCTTTCACACGCGCGCGCACGCGCGCGCGCGCGCGCGCGCGAGAGAGAGAGAGAGAGAGAGAGAGAGAGAGAGAGAGAGAGAGAGAGAGAGAGAGAGAGAGATGGCCGAAAACTACAAAAAGCCGACCCCCCCCACAAAAAGGAACTCCGCGAACACGGCAAGCCCACTCCGCAATTTGAAACTTCGCAATAGCATTCCCTTCCTAAACCCTGTGCTGTGCGCAGTCGAAAAGCAGAAAAACTGCTTGGGCTAAACGCGGCACATCCGGGACTGTCGCAATGTACCACTCCCTACCCGGTTTCTCCTGAGCCCGGTCAAAGCGTTACGCTGGGCCTGGTTGTGCTCTTAGTAAGATAGAGAGAGAGAAGAAAAAAAAAAAGCATGGGCCTCGATGCTTTGCAATACCATGTCCCACTTACACCATAGAGTAGAGCTAGTTCTACGGTTTGACACAGTTATTGTTGTGAATTAAATTCAAATTTCAAAACACATGCAAAAAAAAGAGAAACAAATGCGGCTGAAAGCTTTTTTTTCATATTTTCTGTAACATAAAATGGAGAAAGAAATGGTACGGAATGCTTTTGTCCATATTTTTGAAAACGTAAAATGGACAAAAAGAATATCCTCGAGTTGAACTCTCCTAAGTATACGCAACTCTCCGTGTACTGCACGAAGTCGGAGTCTGGGACCTCACTATAGTGTGGAATGTGGACAGTATACCTCGCTCTGTGCATTGGCCTCCCAAATAAAGGAAACAACTGTCCTCCCACGTCCGTCAGAGTGTCCACCCATGTCCGTCAGAGTGTCCTCCCACGTCTGTCAGAGTGTCCTCCCACGTCTGTCAACGTGTCCTCCCACGAGGAGGTAATGATGGCTCAATGTCCGTCCGTTGAACTAGCTACCTCACTCAAAACGGGGCAGCTAGTTCTACGGAAAGGGCGAAAGGGCAGGGGGCGTTGTATTCAAGAGCCGCCGGATTTTTGTCATTTTGTGCAACAAGACATAGACTTCAATATGGTTAGACCACCAGTACCCCAGGGGGTCTTAGGCCCACTCCGATGCAAATGCATAGACCCGCACGACAGACCGATTCAGCCTCTGTGTTAACGCCCAAAAACGTGGTAGCCTGGTAGGTACTGGTGGTTTAAACCGAGTTTCACAAAATGCCACCGACGGATGCACAGAAGGAGTTCCGATCTTGGCGGTCACACAAAGTCGCACGTGGTCGCTCAACGTAGAACTAGTTCTACGGTGTAAGTGGGACATGGCCCCGGGAAACCATGGTGATTGTAAACAAGGATGATGTGAAGTCCGACAAACAAAAATGCAAACAAATGCAATCAGCGCCAATCACTGAAAAAGAGGTTTGCCCAGGCTTCAAACCGTCATTCTAGTAGGGTGTTATGATCCTGGCCAATTTCAAAGTACGCATTCATGAGAAAGTACAATGTCGTCCAATTGCAGAAAGAAATGAATGAACTTGACAGGAGAGAGAGGGAAAGAAGTAGAAGAAGAAGAAGAAGAAGAAGAAGAAGAAGAAGAAGAAGAAGAAGAAGAAGAAGAAGAAGAAGAAGAAGAAGAAGAAGAAGAAAGAAAGAAGAAGAAGATGATGTACACCAGCAAAGACCGATGATAATTCCCTTCTTCTTCGCCAACCACTCTCCTCCTCCTTATCTCCTCCCCTCTTATTCAAACAAGAAATAATAATAGTAACGTTGAATGGCTGAACTAGAACCAATGTCCGAATCCCTCTTCTACTGCAGGTATCACATGAGGTCCACCATAGGCTACCCTTCTTCCTTTTCCTCCAAGGCCGAGGCTATGGCGGACTACCAGGGCATTGCCCTGCGCTGCAACACAAAGCAGCTATGGCTGCTCTAGCTCAGGCCGCCATGCCTGACTCTGCCTCGAAGCGTCTGGTGTAGCTCTACCCCAACTGGGGCCTTCCAGATGCAGCGCCCACCAAGGTGATGAGATGGCATCCACCATAGCCAGGTAAGTACCTCTGGCGCTCTCCCTCTTCCTAGTCCTCGCCTCCCTCCTCCTCCAGCCTGTGCTCCTCCATCATAGCCGTGGTGGAGGGCTGGGCGCTCTGTCCTCTCTCAGCAGCGCTGCTCCAGCCAGTGTTGCTCCAGCCCACCCTCTAAGCAGTGTGTTGCCGAACTTGCACACCAAAGAATGAGGAGGAGCACTTCGCTCCTCCTGAAGATATAGCGGACTGCTTGCCTCTTGGGCAGTGACTTCCTAGGCCGCACGGCCTCCAAGCAACTGATACCTTTTCCCTTTCGGAGGGAAACATCATTGCAGACTCTGATATTGCCCGTACAGGCCCTAGACTCAGACTGGTTGGACTGGTTCCCGCCTAGACCTAGCCTACAACTACTGGGCCTCCAAAAATGCCAACTTTTGTCTTCGTCTGCTCGGCCTCGAGTACCAGGCATATCTACCTCTACTTGGTGTGGTACCAGCCTACCTGCTACTTGAGTGTTTTCCGCTGCTCTAAGTGTCGCGGACCTCTTTCCCCGCCACTTGAGTGTTTTCCCCGCTGCAACCCTCAATGTCACGGCCACAGGTAAGTCCCGGCCCTTCGGGCCTCCCACACGGTCAAGTACCCTTGCGGGTCACACACACACTCAAACCGACCAGCACTCAGGCATGCAGACCAGCAAGCACGCACACACTCAGACTTAGAAAACTCAGCAAAACTCAGAAATCGGCTGTGTGTCTCAGTCCGTGTTTGGCAGGTCCTTACAAGGGGTTTTTCAAGTCTTCAGATCCTCATTCTAGGGGTGTGTCCGGGCTTCAGACACTTTTTTTTGTGTGTGTGGTTTGCTGATGAGGATGCAAGGAAAAAGAAGCTCAGACGTAGTGGTGGTGTAAACCACAAGTACACCCGCGCCTGGCGGACTCGCACTGCACGACAAGCTTTGCCTATTCACCATCTCTTTTTGGCTGGCGCCACCGGCCATTGTGGTCCGGTAGCCCCGAGCCGTCAATTTTTTAGGAGTAAGCGATGAAGAAATATTGCATGGCTGGGGCCGTGTACTGGCGGTCTAAGGAAGGACGAACTGCTGTCTGGTCCAAGTCGCCCTCTGAAATAGCATGGCGATAGTCCTGAGTGCTCGATACTGAGGTAGGATAGTAGGGATAGGGGTGCGCTAGGAGAATTTCCGAGAGGATGCGTAGGGAGGTGGTCTTATGGAGCATAAGGGAGTGTCAGGACAGCCAATAGATGTGGCAGTTTTCCGTGTGTCCGGAGTCCGGCTTCTACAACAACCTGGGCTTTATGACAAAGGTAAAAAAAAAAAGGAGAGGAGGTGAAGGATCAGGGAGACCTCAAGCTGGAGAGAAAGGGGCAATGGAAGTTATGGCGACTTGGTAGGGGGAATGACTAGGAGGAAAGAGGAAAGAGGGCACCAGTGCAGCCCATATGAGGCTTTGGGTTCAAGCGTAAAGAACTACGGAAGCATGAAGACATTTCATGCATGAAAAGAAAGCCAGCAATGACCACCGTAGGCCATCATACTATCCCTGCGATGGCGCTCAATTTTTTTTTTCACAACAAACACATCATGATTCATGAAAGAAGTTGCTATTTTTTGGAGCTGGATCCTGAGCACCTGGTCAGCGAAAAAAAAGAAAACGAAGCTATATTTAATGACCGAAAGCGGTATACGTGTGGGAAGTAGCCAGGGAACTGTGGGGAAAGATCTCAGACGAGGCCTTCCCGGAGGACAGGAGGATCCCCCTCACCGGTATGGAGCCTCCAAAGACATGGCAACCGGGACAGAGAAGAGGGTTTCAATTACTGAGACAATATGCACTGTGGAGTAGGGTTGTCGAGCCCCGGCCCCGAGGCCCCGGCGGGGGTCAGGGGTCCGGGGGTGGGCACCCCCAACCCCGGCTCCGGACCCCTTCCCCCCCCCCAAAAAAAAACAAGAAATAGTGGGGGGTGCACAGCGAGAGCGCGCACCCCGTGGGCTAAACCCCAAAAATGGGGTTTTGTGCCGGGCCTGGAGG